ATTCTGAGGGAAATGCAAATCAAAACCATAATGAGATAACACCTCACGCCCGTCAGAATGGCTGTCATCAAAAAGACAAGAAAAAACAGGCTTTGGCGAGGATGGAGAGAAAAGGGAACCCTCATACACTGGTGGTGGGAATATAAATTGGTTGAGCCACTGTGGAAAACAGTATGGAGATTCCTCAAAAATTGAAAAATAGAATTACCATATGATCCAGCAATTCCACTCCTGGGTATATATCCAAAGGAAACAAAATCAGTATCTTGAAGAGATGTCTACACTCCCATGTTGATTGCAGCGTTATTTACAATAGCCAAGACATGGAAACAACCTAAGTGTCCATCAGTGCATGACTGGATAATGAAAATGTGGTGGGTGTATGTGTGTGTGTATGTATGTGTGTATGTGTGTGTGTGTATGTGTGTGTGGTGTGTGTATGTGTGCGTATGTGTGTATGTGTGTGATGTGTGTATGTGTGTATATGTGTGTATGTGTGTGATGTGTGTGCATGTGTGTGTATGTGTGTGTGATGTGTGTGTATGTGTGTGTGATGTGTGTATGTGTGTATGTGTGTGTGATGTGTGTGGATGTGTGATGTGTGTGATGTGTGTATGTGTGTGATGTGTGTGTATGTGTGTGTATGTGTGATGTGTGTATGTGTGTGTATGTGTGTGATGTGTGTGTATGTGTGTGTATGTGTGTGATGTGTATGTGTGTATGTGTGTGTATGTGTGTGTGATGTGTATGTGTGTGTGGTGTGTGTGATGTGTGTGATATGTGTGTGTATGTGTGTGATGTGTGTGTATGTGTGTGTGATGTGTGTGTATGTGTGTGTGATGTGTGTGTATGTGTGTATGTGTATGTGTGTGATGTGTGTGTGTGTGATGTGTGTTCGTGTGTGTATGTGTGTGTGTGTGTGTATGTGTGTGATGTGTGTTCGTGTGTGTATGTGTGTGTGTACGTGTGTGTGATGTGTGTGTGTATAATGAAATATTCAGGTGTAAAGAAGAAGGTAATCCTGCCATTTGCCACCATGGATGGGCTTTGAGGGCATTATGCTAAGTGAGGTAAATCAAACAGAGAAAGATAAATGCTGTATGGTATCGTTTATATGTGGAATCTGAAAAAAAAGAAAACTCATAGAAACAGAGAGTAGGAGAGTGGTTGCCAGGGACTGGGGGCTGGAGAAATGGAGAGATGTTGGTCGAAGGGTACAAACTTTCAGTCATAAGATGAATTCGTTCTGGGGATGTAATGTACAGCGTGGTGCCCGTACTTAACACTACTGTTTTGTGTACTTGCAAGTTGCTGAGAGTGTAGATATTAAGTGTTCTCACTACACACACAAAATGGTAGCTATGTGAGGTAATGGATGTGTTAATTGACTTGACTGTGGTAAATGTTTCACAGTGTGTATATATATCAAATCATCATATTGTACACTTTAAATACATGCCACTTTGTTTGTCAATTATACCTCAGTAAAGCTGAAAAAAACCCAACAATGTATGAGCTGCCAGTTGTTGGCTCCTGAGAAAAGGGGTAGTTGAGAAGCTGACGGTCAAAGCAAACGTGTACATTTTGTCTTTTCATGTACAGCTTGGCCTCTGCAGTTGGGGGGGTGCATTCTGTTGGGAAGTTCTGGTTCCTTCCGGGGCCTTCCTTTACCCTGGGGGCTGTGCTGCACAGAGGGGCGGTCGGGTGAAGGAGCTCCCGCCCTGCGTGGTCCTGCCGGGCACTGGCTTCTGAAAGCGGACCCGGAACAGAGAAAGGTCATACGCCGTTGTCCAGGGAGTGACACCCCAGGTCTCATCCATGAGCTCCAGGCTCCCATCAGGAATTAGGCAGAAGATCTGTAGCGCCTCTGTGGGATATGGTGACATTTGGTGGTGGCTGTGGGATGAGAGCTGTGATCAGACTGTCCATGGTGGGCGCTCAGTCTGTTAGCCTCTGTCCCTCCTGTCATGTCACTGTTCCAAGAAGCTGGTGGTACACCACAGATGACACCTTCCCTGGATGAGCTTGGCCTGGTCAGGAGATATGGATGCACAGAAACTACTTTGAAATGATGCACGATGGGATGGGTGCTGGAGGGAGAAATGTGGCCAGGGCTCCCGCAACCCTCTCAGGCACTTAGCCTTGCCTGGCGGGGCAGGGTGGAGGGAGGGAGGGCTTCCTGGAGGAGGTGGCGGCACTCGCAGTCTGAGGAGGGTGTGTCCGAGGTGCTGGAGCCGGGGAGGCTGGGAGTGCTGGATGTCGCATCTGTGCTGAGGAGCTGCCCTTGCTACTGTGGGCAACAGGATCGGAAACCGGGTCTGGACGCTGTTCCCGTCAGTGTTTATAATATGTTGGAAAGGCAGTGTGCGGCGGGGTGAAAAGTGGGGGCAGATACGGGCTGGAATGCCAGCCTGCATAGGCCCTGCTGGGTCCCGACACTTGCCCAGTTTCTCTCTGACGGTGGTCCCGAGGATTGAAGGCAAGGAACACGCGGGAAGCATTTTGCTTGGGGTCGCCCACAGCTCCCCCAAGCTGAGAGTGAATTGCTACTCCGAGGAAAACCTGAGGGACCATCCACGCTGCTGGCATTTGGGTGGAAATTTCATAATACCTTGGGGTCACCTGATTACATCCCAGGAACGGTGGGTTCACCTCTCAGGACCCCCACCTTAGCGCGCGGGTGGTTTATGCAATTCACTATGATCAGTTAAGCTTTGTGAATGTGATGATTTGCCCTATAACGGCCTGAGGCTCTCTCGTGGCCTAGTGGGCCGTCCACCATGAATGTGTCATACCGCTGTCATCCTGCTTTCCACCGACCACAGCCCTTTTTGGGTTGAGTTGGTTTGTCGATCTGCTGCTGCATAAGCAGTTACCCCCAAAGTTAGTGACTTACCGTGACAATAGGTTCTCTTCTCATTGCTTCTGTGGATCAGGAATTTGGGAGTCACGTGGGCCGGCAGTGCTGGCTCAGAATCCCTTAAGAGGCTGCCTCATCTGAAAGATCTCCTGAGGCTGGAGGACCCACTTCCCAGGTGGCTCCCTTGCACGCACTGCTGGCTGGCAGGGTGCAGCTGCCTGCTGGCGGGAGGTCTCAGTTCCTTCAGGTGGGCCGCCTCCCCAGGGCTGCCTCAACGCCTCACAGCGTGGGCCAGGCTCCCCTCAGAGGGGCGACCCAGGAGACCAGGGCGGAGGTCACTCGCCACGACCTGTGCCATCCTGCCTCGGCGCACGACCAGCTCTGTCACTGTGAGGGGACTGCGCGGGGTCACAGGTGTCAGGAGGATCCCTGAGGCCATCTCCTGGCTGACTGCCGCGGGAGGTCGTGCTCCTGTCCTGCCTGCTGAGTAGGCTGGCCTGCCCCATCCAGCGTGTGTGGACAGAGCTTCCTCTGGGGCAGGGGGAAGTCTTCACCTGCATTTCTGCTAATTTTCACTTTCCCAAAGGCCAAAGGGCCCCTCAACTGCCTTTCTCTCTATCTCAGTCCTTCCGGCTGGCCTCTTGCCCCTGGCTGTCCTCTGTCTGAGATTTTAATCTGGTGTGAAAGCCTCTTTTATTCCTGTGGGCAGCTTATCTCAATTAGAAAATCACTCATCGCCTTTGCGGGGGGGTGGGGGGGGCCCATTAGAAAATGTAGAATAAATATTTGTTTTTGTGAATAATTTCACAAACCTCAGATGCACAGAGAGAATTCAAAAAACAGATCTTGCAAAGATAATAACCCTGGCTCCTCCCTGCTGGAGTTCCAGGGGCCACCCCCCAGCCACGGGCTGTTTTTGTTACTTTGTTGTACCCTCATTCGGGCCCAGGTAGACTACGAGTTCGGGCTTTCTGTCCTCAGCTCATACACAAGAGAGGGGGAAGATACGGGGGGGTTGGTGAAAAGTTTGGGCCTCAAAGCGCTAACCAGGATTTGGGGCCTGTCTCCTGACCTCCAAGGCCTTATTCTTCCAGGACCACACACTTCTATACGTTGACATTCTGCTTTGCAGTTTCAAAGCAGCGTCCCGTGAACGATTCCATTTTGGCATCACGATAACCCTGGGAGAGGAAAGAGGCCCAGAGACGTCACTGGTCCTGCCTAGAGCAGCCCAGCTGGACAGGGCCAGGAAGCCCCCAGGTCCCGTGCCCCTAAGCCCAGGTCCCTGTTCCCCATCTCACAGCTGCCCCACGGGTTCACCAGATGGATGCCCGCTTGGAGCCCACGTGGGAGCTTGCACTGGGCTTATCTGGTGCAGTTGTTTCATTCTGTGCTGTCTCGCTGTCCTGCCTCTGCCTGGAACCATCGGCCGGCAGGCCCCCATGCCCCGAGCCACCGTGGTGTGGGCGAAGCCTTTCATGTCCTGTCAGCACAGCTGCAGCCTCTGGACGGCGGGCCTGTGAAATCCACATTGGTTCCGGCTCTATCTGCATTGTTAGGGCCTCCGAACCAACACATGCCTCTCTCAGTCCACACAATGGCCTGGGTTGAAGGATCCCCCGCAGGAATCTAGACGTGGATTTGTTCTGACAGTCAGTTCTTAAGTTGTCCGGAAGTGGAAGGAGCGTGGAACTCAAATGTCCAATTTCTGACTAATTTAAAGGCGCCAGTCCTGAGTCTTCTGGGGCACTTTCAAGTTTCTTTCCTTTCTTCAGGGGGAAGCTGTAATTTCCAGCCAAACACGGATGCTTTCTACTGCTCAGGTTCACCGCCTTTCTCCTGCAAGGCCCTGATTTGGCTGCCTGAACCCCTGGAAGAGCCAGTGTATTTGTAACTGCTCCCCAGCGTCCCCACCTGCGCCATCTGGGCCGTCGCTGACACTGCAGAGGGTGGCTGGGTTCTTGGACGCCATGTCCATCCATCCCACACTCTGTTGAACTTGGCGTTGTGTCTAAGGTGTCTAAGTGAAAAACCTCCCTCAGTCCGGACGTTCTCCAAGGATTGAGAATTTGGAGATGTAGAAAGTATTGAGAGACTGCTCAACACACACACACACACATTCTTTTTCCTTCTCTTGCAGCCTGCAAGTATTCCTGCCACAAGAAATGTGAAGCCAAGGTAAGCGTTGCATTGCTCTCCCATGGGGCTTCTGGAGCCGAATTGGCCCGCGTTGAATGATGTGCATGGGAGGGGACTGCTTTGGACCGTGGCCACAGAAACGGAACGCTTAAGAAACGGCTGCTAGATGCTTTTCGATAGGGTGTATAGTTTTCATCTGAAGAATAAACTGAGGAGCTATGAAATCCATGTTTTTAATTATAGGAAAATAGCTCTTAAGAATTCGGTTTCAGATAAGAATTCGGTAATTTTGTCCTGGCCATCTCACAGCCCTTTCTCCACAACAAATGATCCCTTCTTTCCAATCACATCGACGTGCTGCTTTTTTTAATGGCAGAGAGGGGGTGGGGATAGGGGCGAGGGCACATGCCTGGCCTTGAGAATTTTTCTGGCTTCTTTTTTGAGGGTAGTTCATAGATGGGCTGGGGTTTTCAGGCTGTCAGGGATGTCTGGGGACCCTGAATCATGGGGTCCTGCATTCCCTGGTAGGGTTCAGTTGCTGGGTGGTCCTACAAAGTGCTTGAGGCCTGGGTGTGCTGGGTTGGGTGTAAGGCTTTGATTAGTGGGGAACGAGGAGGCCTGGAAATGGCATATGGAAGCTGCAGGCACCCCTAGATGGGGCCCTGGTTTTCTACGCAGGTCCAGGTGTCTGCACCTCTCACGCTTTCCAGGTACGATGTTACCTTCAGTGGAGCCAGGGCTCATGCGTCGCTCCTTGCTGACTGGCCGGTCCCACCTTTGTGGGACCCCCTCAGGTGCCCTGTAGGCTGCCCCTGGTGGGTGGAGGTCCAGGGAGATGGGGTTTTAGAGCGTCTTGGGATTTTGTTGCTGCTCTGGACCTCACGGCTCAGCCTCTCCTGAGAATTTTCGACTGGCCCTTGGGCTCCGAGTGGAAGGAACGTGTGCTGGACGCGGGCTTCGTGGAACTGTGGGCTGGCTTCACGTGCGTGCGCTCTCCCTGTAAGGACCAGGATCCTGCTTTCCTCCACTGCCCCCACGATCCACACGGGCATGCACGTGAAGTCACACACATGCACACGCTTCACGTTCATACGGGCACTCACAGTTCACACTCACACGTGCCCACATATGTGCACACACACATGTCACACACATGCACGCAGTTTACCCACACGGGCACACGCACACACAGATGCACACGCACAAAGCTAGAGAAATTACAGGTGGGTCTAGCCCTGCTTTTTTTTTCAAGAAAGAGATTAAATGACTTTGCTTATTAAACTTCTCATCCTGGAGCATTTGGGACACGTGCAGAAGTGGCGAGGCTATAGGATGGAGCTCTGTGCTGCACTGTTATCCAGCCCCCAAGTTGGCAGCCCCCTTGCCCCCGTCTCTTCCGAGGTGTCACATGATGTGTGTTTTAGTCGTCTCAGGATCAGGCCCCACGGTGGAGCTTTGGGACATTTCTGCTGTCACTTGCGGTCTCACTGTGGAGAAGGCTTCCCCGTTCTGTCCAAGGCCAGGCATTCTTACTCACACTGACCCCTGGGCAGGACTGATTTCTGACCTTGGTTATTCTAGGTCTGCTTTGCCCACAAATGTGCTCGTCTTTCCAGTGTGGCTGTGTACTTTAAACCTAAGTGACTGTGTCAGAGCAGAGATTCCTGCATGCAGTGGAGCTGGGGAAGATGCCACCTTGGGGAATATTTCGGATTTCCCAGAGGGTTCCCCCCGTCTGCTTGCTGAGGGTTTGGATGTGCCCCCAGCCCCCGAGGGTCCCAGTTGCAGCAAGCCTTGTCCTGCGGAGCTCGTGCCTCGTCACCCCGGTGGGGCGGACAGTGAGGAGAGCCACTGCCAGAGCCCTGCTTGTCCCGTGTCATGCTGCACGTGTGAGTGTGCGTCGTGTGCATGGGCCTCCTCCCGTGACACTCTGCCTGGCCCGGCCACTCCCGCAGCTGCAGACTGAACCCTGCTGCCCTTGGCACTGTTTCTCAAAGGGGGCCCAGTGCCAGCTACTTAGGGGATTGAATTCTTTGGTTCAAAGAATATTCCAAAAGTCTTAACTATCACTGATTATGGCATTTCTAGCCACAGTAATTGGCAGTTTGCTAGGGACAGATAAGCCTTTATTCTTATTAGATCATGGTAGAGGGGGAAATGTATCCGTAGTCATTTTTTTTTGGATAACGCAGCTTTGAATGGCAGGAGAGAATGCCACTAGCAATAACAAAGACTCTTCTTATTCCAAAACTATAATGCCATTGCTGCTGAGCAGACGAGGGCCATAAATTCTCAGCCACCCCTGGAGATAAGCACGGGGTTGGGGGTAGGGCAGCTCAGTCTCCCAGGAGCTGAGACGCAGCTCCCCCAGACGGCTGGGTCCTTGATCACCACACGTCTGTGCCTAACCGTGCGTGCCCGGATTTCTTTGAGACTGAGAAAGCTTGCGTGAAGCTTTGGTCAAAGGTACAGGCTTTGGCCTAACGTCTGGCCCATCCATCCACTTACTGACTTGGGGATGGTATGGGCTGTGGGTCCCCTCTGTGCTGGGAACACCGAAGGAGAGGGCACAGCACGATCCCCGGAGCGTGTTCGTGTGCGTTTAACCCCGCTGGCATTGTCGTCGCCCTGCTGCTGCCAGGGCCACCATCAGAGGCTCCCAGCCAGGCCCGGGATGTCCTCTTGGTAGAGCAGGAGATGTGGAAGGAGAGAGCCATCCTGCAGAGAAGGGGCTGAGCTATGGACTGGGGGCTCAGGCAGGGAAACGGAGCCTTGAGCTAGGACCGAGGTCACTTTCTTCCTGGCCGTCGGGTAGTATGCCCCCCCAGGTGAGGCCATGCGGTCCCAGGGTACACGGAGGCAGAGACGTGGGCTTTCATCCTCCTTGTCTCCTGGAGCAAGTCCGGTTCCCCGGAGCCTCAGTTTCTTCATGCATAAAATGGGTGAATAACAACTTCTGCAATCCACCTGAAACAGCTTGCTTTTAGCTGTTAATTGTGGTAGTAGTAATTATTTAAATTTTAAGGAAGCAGAATAACTTACATATAATTACTGGAAAGTTTGGAATTCTAAGTATCTTGCTCCCTGGGAGGCTGTGCTTGTTCATGGGTGCCACATGAGCTGTTTGGGCAGAGTGACTTGGTTTTTTCTTCCTGGCCCCTGGTTGACTCCCTGGCAAGAGAAAAGAGGAAGTAGGAGAAAGAAAGCTGTTTCAGGAAGGCAGATGATGGTGCGGAGACACTTGGGGGATGGGGGTGCGGCAGAGGGGGTGTTTCTTGAGCTTTGGTGCACTGGCGAGGGCACTGTGCCTCCAGCAGCTTTCCGCAAATGTGAGGCCCCGCATAGGGGCTGAGCCGGCAGAACTGGAGTGCACACATGGCGTGGAACAACCCTCTCTGCCCTGAGCTGCCTGCCGCCAGCTCAGAGACTGTCCTCGGACCCCCTGTGTCCCGTCCCTGGCCTGCACAGCACACAGCCCGGGGCCAGCTGTCCTCTTTCTGAGCCTGCCTTGACGGGGCGCCTCGTTGGAGATAACAGACCAGGACTGCAGGTGCTGCCACTTGGTTTCCGGACGGGAGAGGATTCCCGGGCTCGGCTGGCTTCTTTGTCCGTCCTCGCTGTGGCCACCATGCGGTAGCTCTGCTGCCCGCTTCCACCTCCCGCTGCCCGCTTCCACCTCCCGCAGAAGCAGAACTCTTTGTCATGGGCCTACTGATTCTCTCCCTGAAGAGAGACCATGTGAGGCAGGTGTGGCTCTGGGGGACCCCAGGACCCCTGGGGCCTCTCCTACCTCGGGACCCCTGCAGGATCTGCTGTCGTCACCTCCTCTGCCATGCTGGCCCCTCGGCCCAGCGACCCCAGGTTCTGGCTGTGGCTGATGCAGGAGCCTCAGTGACCTTATCAGACAGGCTGGCTTCAGATGGCATCTCTGTGCCACGGGAAAGACGAGGGCCACAGCCTGCGACTTCCTCGTAGACCACCCTAGACGTCTCTCCTGGGTGTCAACAGCGGCCCACTGGCTTCATTCATGAGTTTTAACCATTAACTTACATGTCTGGTCATTAACCTTTGTCTACAGACAGCTTTCTTCTCCGAATAATAAGGGCAACAGCTTCCCTTTTGGGGCCTGCTGTCCCAGGCTTTGTCGGCCAGCCCTTCCCTTCACTGGATGAGCAAACAGAGACCCCGGTGGTGAAATGACTTACCCACTGTCACCTGGCATCCAGGTGCCAGCATTCAAGGGTGTTGGGCTTCCAAGTTCAGGTTTTTGCTGCCCCGTGTATTTTCGCTCTTCACGGATCAGCCGTGGAGCTGACGTGGGCCTGTGCACCTGGTGCGGCTGGTCTGATGCCTCCAGAGTTCCCCCTTGGGAACTCCAGCCCTGTGGCCAGCTTCCCTGAGACACCCACACGTAGGTATGGGCAAGGCTCCCCCTTGGCGGGGGGGTCGAGTCCTTCCCTGTCCCGCGTCTCCTTTCTCTGCCGTGAAGGATGCCCTGAGGATCCATGCCCCCTGCCTGCCCCCTCCCACACGGCTTTGCTCACCGCACATCCATGGCATCTTCTGAGACCCCAGCCCTCCTCGGAGACACGGGCGGGAGCACCTCCTGTCAGCCGTGTGGGGCCCGCGCTGACCAGTGTGCGTGGGCACGTCCGACAGCCTTGCCGCTGGCCTCCCTGCACAGAGGAGGTGGAGAAGCCAGCCTGCCCGAGCGCTGAACCCCCAGCCCCGAGGGGGCCCAGCACTGCCCCATCTTCATGTCCAAATCCTACTGTGCCTCGAGGCCCCGAGGCCCTTGCTCCCCAGAAGCCCAGCAGCCAGCCCCCACCTGGGCAAAGCGCCCCATCCTTCCCGGCTCCAGGGCCGCCTTCTCCCTGCCTGCTCGGTGCCTTCGGAGGCATTTGGGGAAGGAATGGGGGTTGGGGGGAGTCTGCCTTTACCTCCCCACAGGATGTTGGTGATGACCTTTCTTTCCTGGGACACAAATCGCTTCCTGGGAACAAATGACCTGAATTAGTAAAAAGGAAAGAGTGAGAATG